TGTTGGATGTTTTAGGTTTGACTCTTGCTGGCAACATCTTAACCTATTTTATAAAACAATTGTCTTTATAAAATAATAATGCGCAAAGACAACGGTTATTTGTAGTGTTATGTATTCAAATACGCTTAAAGACAACATACCAAAGACAACGATTAAATAAAATCGTTGTCTTAAAAAAAGAACGTGCAACGACAACGGTTTTTTTTAAAAAAAAATCGTTGTCTTTGTAGTGTTGTGTATTCAAGTGCTATTAAAGACAACACACAAATGACAACGGTTAAATAAAACTGTTGTCTTTTAAAAAATAATAATGCACAAAGACAACGGTTTTTTATATAACCGTTGTGTCACACCCCGTAATCCAGATTCAATTATGGGATTAATTAAGTAATTAATCCTAAACCAATTGGTGTTTTAATTCCTAAAAATCCTGAAAATTCAATAGTCGGGGACTAATAATTTACTAGTCAACCCCAAAGTCAAGGTTGTACCTTAAGCTTTGTAAGGAGTTCCCTTGTTCCCTTACACCTCTTCATTTTAGTAAGGGTATTCATGACTTTTCACCTTGTGTTAGTAATGCAAGCTAACCTAGTAGACAATTCTCATTTCTCTCCTTACACTTCCCAAACTTTAGCTCTATCTTCTCTTTAAAAAGGTAGATAGCTTTTCTTCCAAGCCAAGTTGAAGCCTTGTCAAATCTTCAAGAATTGTCTCCAAGATTCTACCTTTCATACATTTGGGCATCTAGGAGGGTAAGATCTATGTTCATCTTGTGTTTTTAGGGTTTTCTTAGGTGTCTTTTCTTAAAGATAGAATCTTTATGATCTTTTGGTGTGTTCTTGAAGTGGGTTTGGAAAGTGAGCCTTATTAGGAGCTTGGTGAAGTGTTAAGTGAAGGTTTTTGTCTACAAGAGGTAACCCATGCTCTACAAAATCTATTTTGCTTACCTATATGATGATTTCTTGGATTCTACATGTGTTTTGCTATGAAATGTGAGTGTTTATGCATTGTCTTGTGAAAATGCATATCTAGAGCTTGTGTTTAGGGTTCTTGTATGCCATTGCTTGGCTATTCCTTTGATTCAAGTCATTTTGTTGTATTTGGTGAGATTTGGCATGTTTTGGACTTGAATTTGAGCTTGGTGTTGAAAATCCCCGAAGGGATTATTTTGGGCACAGGAGTGTACCCGCAGGCGGAACTGCGGGTAGGCGTCCACCCGCCGCCCCACCCGCGGGGAACGTGGCTTGTTGGTGTTGGTACCCGCGGGCAGAACCGCGGGTAGGGGCCTACCCGTGGGTCCACCCGCGGGGTACATGGTGTGGTTTGGCGGGGATTTGTTCCCCATGATTCTTTTGACTCGGTATTTGGTCTTTTGACTTCCCGATGTTATTTTATGGAACTATTTGAGTGTCTTCTTGATGTTTCGTATGTCTAGAACTATATGGTAGGAATCCATGTAGGTTTTGGTGTCTTGAATCGTGCTAAGTGTTCAACATTGTGTTTCGTTGAACCGTGATGAGTCTTGTGTGTTCTTCGGAACTACGTTTGGTTTACCCATTTGGTGAGCATGCTAGTTCGGTGTTTAAATGCTAGCGTGTGTGTTGTTTGTACCTTCCTATCGTTGATGATAACTTGTGTTATTCATCGTTGTGGTTGGACTGTGATCCATTCCTTGATTGAGTATGGTTTCATATCTTCGTTGCGATCCGTTGATTGATTCCTGTTGAGGTGTGGTGTGTTTGGCTTTACCTGGATTGCACGATTAGTGGTATGGGACACTAGTCACCAAGGTATTGCAGTGATCCTCGTGGTGGCCATGATGTGATTATGGAGTTTGTGGCCTTTGTGTAAGGTTCACGTATTTATTTATGGGATAACATGTGTTATCCAGGGCATGTGTTGCCATGTGTGATCGGTACCCTCGTGTACTATGAAATTGGTGGTTTTGTTGGCGGTCGTTGGCGGATGGGGACGACGGTCCTCGGAGGGAAAATGTTGGACTTGGTGTACAGGGGTCCTGGAGGTAATGGTTGGAACTAGACATAAGGTTGGGGGTAGCCATAAGGTTGGAACCGGGCATAAGGAAGGCATATCAACTCATGATGGGTGATGTCACGAGGGCTTGTGTAGCCGTTGTTGTGAGTTCTTTTCTTGTGACGTGTGTTGTCACAAAGGCATGTGTTGCCTTGGCATGTGTTGCCATTGGTTGTGTCCTTATTCTTTTGAGTTGTGTATGCCGGGTGTTAATCTATTGTGTGATGATAGATTATACCTTGAGTCGTCCTTACGAGTTGTTGTTGTCCTTTGTGGTCTTGGGATGTGTTCCCTTATCTTGTTGTGAGTGCTTTGAGTCTTGTGATGACCTAGGCTCTTGGTTTTGAACTTATATATATGTATTCCGTTTCGCAAATGGCTTTACAACGTATATGTTATCTATGTATGATATTTTACATGTATTGGTGGGTTACCAGCATTATTCGCTAACCGGGCGTCGTCCCATCTTTTATGTGTTTCTTTCAGGTAATGTTTAGACGAGAGCGCAGTATAGTGCCAGCTAGTGTAGCTCCTTTCTTATGTTTTGTGGCCTGTGAGCCCAGTTTAGACTTAGTACGCTGAACATGTATGGTTTTAGATGTTGAATTATGCAGATGTTAGCCTGTGCGTTCATCTCTAGATGAGCGTGGCATAGCACCCCTTTTACTTCCAGTTTATATATTCATCTTTCAGTCTTCCACTGTGTTTGATGTTTGATTAGATATCTGCATATTTAAGGCTTTAAATTGCTTGGAAAATTAGGGGGTGTTACACGTTGTCTTTGTAGTGTTGTGTATTCAAGTATGCTTAAAAACAACATACCAAAGACAACGGTTAAATAAAACTGTTGTCTTAAAAAAATAAAGAACGTGCAACAACAACGGTTTTATAAAACTGTTGTTGTTGTAGTGTTGTGTATTCAAGTGCTATTAAAGACAACACACAAATGACAACGGTTAAATAAAACCGTTGTCTTTTAAAAAATAATAATGCGCAAAGACAACGATTTAAAAAAACCGTTGTCTTTGTAGTGTTGTTTATTCAAGTACACTTAAAGACAACATATCAAAGACAACAGTTAAATAAAACCGTTGTCTTAGAAAAAAAATGCCCATAGACAACGGTTTTTTAAAATGGTTGTTGTTGTCGTGTTGTCTTTTCTCAAATTGCACAAAGACAACACACTTATAACAACGGTTAAGTAAAAACCGTTGTCTTTAACAAAAGTGTTGCGTCAAAGACAACGGTTTTGGACCAAACTGTTGTCTTTTATACAAAAGAAAACACTTTTGTTAAAAACTGTTGTCTTTGTAGTGTTGTCTATGTGCATTTTTCTTGTAGTGCATTTTCTTGAGGATATTCCTAATTGGGAAAAACTTGTACCTCCAATATGTGTGCATTGCGATAGTAAAGTCACAATTGGGAGAGTACAGAGTCACATGTATAATGGTAAGTCCAGACATATGCGTCGTAGACATAATACCATTAGACAACTTGTCACAATGGGTGTTGTCTCGATTGACTACGTAAAGTCAAAAGACAATATAGCGGATCCGCTAACCAAAGGGTTAGGCAAAGAATTTGTGGAGAAGCTGACACGAGGAATGGGTCTAAAGCCCTTGGAATAAAAGTTCTATAGTGGATACCCAACCTAGCTGGCACCTAGGATCAATGGGACAACTAAATTATGGAACGAAGCGTGTCACTGTAGGGGTCTCAACTCTCTACCATTCCTCGTTAGAACAGTGATTCCCATACGAGGTTAGCACGTTGATGCTTTGATGTTTCGAATGTCGGTTGACATGTGTGAGTATGCGGGATACTCGGAAAAGAATTACCTATGTGAGAGAAGTGAGGGACGCTTCAAAGGAGAATTGAATAGGGCTCAATTCTTCACAAACTCTTGCAGAATCAGGAATGATGACCCACGACCAAAACGGACAAGTCATGAGAACAGAGCATGGTTGGGAGGTTCCTGTGTGAGATATGTCGTCGTCTACACAAACGGCAGTCGGTTCAAAGACATCGTGTTCTACTGTACAACTAGTAGAGTAAATGTATCTTCACGATGAAAGGTTCAAAGGGTAACACCTACCTATCCTATGCAGGGATCGACTGTTGAACACAGTTATTTCCGATTTCAAAATACCCCGAAAATAAATTTTCATTCATGTGGGGGATTGCTGGAAAAAGTAACTTAAATGGCATAAAATAGCATTATAAGTGGCTATTTTGTGATACAATTATTAGTGGGGTCCACTTCCTATTTTGGTCGGGTCAAAGTGGATTTGGGTTTTTCGTAGTGCGACGAAGAGATCGATATATTGTACGCGCAAAACGGATGATGGGTGAATGAGAAATTGATTCTCAAAGTAGACCCATTTGAGTTGGAAAAATGAAGGGAAAAAGTAGCTTTTGTCCCACATTGATTTGGGAAGGATGAGAGAGAGATTCAAATTGTATTCAGTTACAGAAAGATTACAACAATAGAAACCTATAGGAATAAGGTAACGTAATACTCTCCTATACAATAGGTTGGGCAGAGTCAACTAATCTACCACCACACAACTATTAACTACATATAATATACACATTAATATTATTATTACTAACACACCCCCTCAAGCACAAGGTTGGAGGGAGACAACATGAACTCGTGGTGCTGGCAACGGCTTCGTGAATATGTCGGCCAACTGATCCTTTGTAGACACAAAATTGACCGTGAAGTCACCAGACGCAACCTTATCCCGGACAAAATGATAATCGATCTCGACATGTTTAGTCCTTGCATGAAAAACCGGGTTGGCAGCAAGGTATGTGGCTCTAAGATTGTCACACCACAGAGTTGCTGGATTACCGGAATGTAGACTAAGCTCTCGTAACAACGACACAATCCACGTTACCTCGGCGGATACATCAGCTAGTCCCTTGTATTATGCTTCTGTTGAGGAGCGAGCCATCATGCGTTACTTACGGGAAAGCCAGGAAATGAGATTAGACCCGAGAAATACTGCGTAACCACTGGTAGATTTCCTGTCAGTCGGACACCCGGCCCAGTCTGAGTCTGAAAAAATATGAATATCGGAAGAGGACGAAGCTGACAAGCGTAAACCATAGTCTTGTGTGCCTTTGACATACCGTAGGACACGCTTTAGAAATCCCCAGTGATCATCGGTGGGAGAATGCATAAACTGACATAGCCGATTTACCGCATAGGAATGATCCGGCCGAATGATAGTTAGGTACTGCAGGGCCCCTATAATACTACAATACTGTGTTGGATTGTCAAATGAATGAGTTGACGGTGTGGCCGCCTGTGTTACGGCAACTAGAGTTGCTAGGGACTTGCAATCAGACATTCCTGCTCGGGTCAAAATATCGCCCATATAGCGACGCTGAGAAAGGAAAAGACCCCCATCTACCTTCAGAGTTTCAATGCCGAGAAAGAAGCCCGGTGTGCCGAGATCCCTAATCTTGAAGGTGGTGGACAGGCGGTGAAGCAACGTATCAATCAACGCAGGATCATTGCCCATCATAATGATGTCATCGACATATACTAGCAAGAACACCCGCGAGTTCCCAGTGGTGTGGGTTGAGTGGGAACTACCATGGGCTCGGATCTCCAGGGCGGAGTAGAGGCGACTCGTTGTGGTTGAACCTGCAATGATGATTCTGTAGAAAAGGGAAAAATAGACTCATCAAATCACACATGACGGCAGATAAAGGTTTTTCCAGTTGTTAGGTCCATGCACGATACCCCATAAATGATACCGGGTAACCTAGGAATACATAGGGTGCAAATCGAAACTCTATCTTGTGCCGATTGTATGGCCTAAGATAGGGATAACAACGGCACCGAAGACGGAGAAAGGTGTATGTGGGTGGGGACTTGTATAGACGATAGTGTGGACTTTCGAATTGTAAGGTGGACGAGGCGAGGGAATTTATAAGGTATGTGGTTGTTTCAAAGGCATAATCCCAATATTTGAGCGGTACCGAGCTTTCAGCGAGAAGCGCTAATCCGGTTTCGACAATGTGTCTATTCTGGCGCTCAACCCTCCCATTTTGTTCGTGCGTATAGGCACATGATTGCATGTGCACAATGCCAAGTGATTCGAAAACCTTATGTAGACGACGGTACTCACCCCCTAAATCTAACTGTATGGATTTGATAGAACGCAAAAACCGACATTCTACCATCACATAAAACAACTCAAAAATTTTATATATATCTAATTTTAGCCGTAAGGGATAAAACCAACAAAATCAAGAATAATCGTCTATAAACAGAATAAAATAACAAAAACCAGAAGCAGAAATAACGGGGGCCGGACCCCAAATGTCCGTGTACAATAAATCTAAAACATTTTCACTAGAAGTGGCTACTATATCTAGGGTAAATTGTGCGGATTTGCCAAGTTGACAGGCCATGCACACTTCTGAAGAACTAGACTTATTCGGAGTGACTGGACAATTTTGTAGCACACGCTGAAGGACACGGCTATGCAGGTGACCCAACCGTTGATGCCACACCACGGACGACACTTAGGCACTTAGGAACACAAAATGAGACCGCGAGACCAACAACCTATATAAGCCACTCGAGGTAGGTCCTTTAAGAAGAACCGCCTTGGTGGTGCAGTCCTTCACAGTAAAGAAATTTTTGTGAAACTCAAAATATACATCATTGTCATTAGTAAAGCGATGAACTGACAAAAGAGGTAAAGATAAATTTTGCACGTGTAATATATTTGACAGACTAAGAGATTTGAACACAGAAGGGATAATTGCATGACCAACACGAAAAACACCCAAACTTGCGCCATTGCCGACTCGGAGCACGTCCCTGCCGGTGTACTCTTCCGATTGACTCATCATGTGTGCGTCCGCTGTTGCATGCGAAGACACCCCAGTTGTAACACCCCACTTTTTCAATCTCTTAATCACAAATCTAAACCACAATATCATAAACTAAGCAGCGGAATTAAAAACTAAGAAGATAACTAGTGGGGATGTCACCGCCACAATCACCCCTCCGTGGTGATTGCACAGGCTAAGGGGTAAAACTAGAAATAAAATAAATATCTAACTTCCATAATAAATACTGAAAAACATAAGGGGGAAAAAGTCACCCCAAAAGTCTAAATCATAACTAGAGTTTAGACATCTCAAACTACGAGACTAATCTAACTCGATCTCTTCTCACTGCTGGGCCCACCTGAAAGGGGTTTTGCAAGCAACACATAGACAAATAGGAAAACACCCGTTAGCACGAAGCTAAGTATAACCACACTCAACCCTGTAAAGAATTATAGCATATACTTTGAAAACATTTGATTTCTCTTGTAAACAACAAACTCATCTCAAATCATCTTTAAATCTATTACATACTTTCTAGATGTTTGCAACCTATAATATCAACTGGCATGCTTATATACATAAGACTGAACACTTAGATACTTCATCATATAAACTTCTCAATTAACTTAACAAGCAATTCATGCTTACAGGTAGGATCATGCTAATAAACCATATAACAGGTATTCTCATGCTCTCAAATTCTCATCACAAAAACTTGATATACAAGACTTCAAAAGTAACCAATCAATCATGTTCGATGAACAATCTTAAATCAACATTCTCATTATGTAATCTCATGCGATACTCTACTCAAAAGCAATCTCGTGCAATACTATAAACATACTCATATGCAATCTCGTGCAATACTATAAACATACTCATATGCAATCTCGTGCAATACTATAATCATACTCATATGCAATCTCGTGCAATACTGTAATCATACTCATATGCAATCTCGTGCAATACTATAAACATACTCATATGCAATCTCGTGCAATACTATAAACATACTCATATGCAATCTCGTGCAATACTATATATATACTCATACACTCTTTATAAAAATAAAGTACTTTCTGTGGAGGTCAATTTCATACTTTTGAGTCTCTATTGACTCGCTTTCTTTCTCTTGAGTCTCTATTGACTCACTTTCTTTCTTTTGAATCTCTCTTGACTCGCTTTCTTTCTCTTGAGTCTCTCTTGACTCGCTTTCATTCTTTTACTCGTAGACGGCTTAGGGTGTCACCGAAGCGTGAATTACCCCATCGGGAGCGACATAAATTCGACCCAATATCTCCTACCGTCTACGGAACCAATCTCGTGGTTCTATCTCTATGGAATCAAGTATCAAACTATTAGTGTGCACACCCCCTGACCAGGATTCCAAGCCTGGCGGGCAGTTTCCAACCTCGTAACGTGGGAATACGCCGCGTTACATATACTGGGACCGCAATGTCCATAAATATCTCACGAGAGGACATAGTCCAAATGGTATCCTTCAAAAACCTCACCAATATAGATAATACATAAATATATCTCTCATGCATCAATCTCATGCATGCAACAACTCTACTACTTCTCAATGCATCAAAGAATGATATACCACATGCTTATAGATTTTTGAAAGTAATACTTGAGCTCACGTTGGCCCTTTATATATGCATTTTTGAAATATGACATATGTGGGATGCCAAAATATTCTATAACATTCTTCTAAACCATGTATAAAATGACATGAAGTACTCAAGAATATAGTATCATGCTCGGTTTGCAACATAGCAAATTCTATACATTTCACTCAACAAATATGCTTCATTTCTCATTAATCAAATAACACAATCTAGTCATGCTTTCATAATAAATCATACTCTCAAAGGATCATGCTTGCATAATAAATCATACTCTCAAAGGATCATGCTTCTCTACTCAATAAAATAACATCAGATTACAAAGTCAATTATTTCTCATACACAGTGAACTAACAAATATATGAATTGTGAAGCAATTCTTCAATAAAACCTTCATAACATACTCATTTTTTATCCAAATTAAACAAAATCAAAGCCAAAATGTGCGTCGAGACGATCTCGAAGAGCCGAGCTACAAGGGCCCGTAACACTCGGCCCGAGACGACATGTAGCTGAGCCACAAGGGCCTGGCCACTGCACAGAAGCTCCTCATATCAAACTTAGGGACTTGGGGCGGGACTCCTCATGGTCCGCCCCATGAGCCCCGTTACTCCATCGGGTCTAGGCGACGGCCCTCCTCTAGGGCCGTGCCCTAGACCCGTGTAACCACAGCTCTAGTCGGCGGCCCTCCTGATGGGCCGCGGCTAGGGCCGCTAGTCTGATCTGGTGCACTCTGTGTGTGCACCAGATGACATTTTCATCTGCAAATCTCAATCCAAACAAGTCCAAAACATTCTCAACAACTCAAAAATAAATACTAGATCACTTCTAAGCATAAACACAACAAAATCTCATAGTTTATACTCATTTCTACTCAATACTAAGGCTTCACAGAGCCAAATTTCAAGAAGGAATCCATGGGGTTATACCTCTTGTAGCTTCTTCTTCTTGTATGGATTTCCCCCTCTTCCCAAGCTAGCTACACCCTCCTTCACCTCCTAGATACCTCAACAACCATACATTAACATACTATCAAGTTCTCAGAGAAGAAATAAGCTTAAGGAAATGAAAGGCAAGGATTGAATGAAGAAGGTTGAAGAAGCTTACTGTGTGTTGTCTTGCAAAGCTGATAAATGGGAAGCAAGGAGTGGAATCAAAGAGGCAAAGGCTGATAAGGGTTCTATTTATAGGAGCACAAAACCCTAGGTTGATCCCATATGATTGGTTGATGGCAAAAATGTAATTTCCATTGGCTAGAAATTGAATCAGGCAAGTGTTTTTGGATATCTAGTGGTCCACCATGCTCCATGGACCAAGGCTAACAATGCTAACTTTAAATACTTTGGGGTTGAAAAGGAATTTTCTCAAAAAGCTAATTAGATGAATCCTTGTTTAAAGTCTTTTTTAATCCTCCCGGTTTCACTCAGATTGATTTCTCGATTTAAAACTTGGTACGCGATGTACCCGAACATTTAGGAATTTTGAATAAAAGAAATTTTGGTGTCGAATTAATTTAAAATGTGACTAAAATAATTTATTCAAACACCAATTGATCGCAAAAAAATTTTAATGGAGTGAAAATGGCTATTTTGGAATTTCTTAAAATTGAATTTATAAAATAAAATTTTGGGTTGTTACACCAGTATCTGGATACCAAGCAAACACTGTCGTCGTTGTAGGACTACCGCCGGAGACTGCCAAATTGGCTTGAGCCAGAGGATGGTCACTGTACTGCTTGTAACAATACATGGCTATGTGACCATGGGATCGAAGATCTGGCATCGGGGAGTACCGCCGCAACCACGCCATTGGTCGCCTCTGCCACGTCCTTGTCCGCCATTCAAAGAGTGCCGCCTGCCAGAACCGCCTTCTCCCCCCTTTCGGCGACCACGACCAGTAAACAACGCCGCGGGAGAACCGTTTGCGACTAGACCATCGCTCGCCGGGAATTCGTTAGAATAGATGAGTTCTTGAGCCTGTAGAAAATCCGAGAGTTGCGGTATGGTGACAGGTGTACCTGACACAGTGAGGGAAGCCGCTATGGCGCGGAACTCCTATCGAAGCCCCCAGAAGACGTACAGATTCTGTTTGTCGAGGGATAATGGGCGGCCAGCCAGAGACATGTCTTCGACGATCAGCTGGGCACGGCCTAGGTATTCTGTCGGTGAGCTGTTGCCTTGGCGGAGAGATTGAAACTGCCCAGGTTGAGGCAGTGGGCGCAAGTGGAGGAACCTAATGCCGTCGTGACGGAGAGCCAGACCTCCCGGCCGGTGTTGCGGTCGACGGCGAGGTACATCTCCTTGTCGGAGAGTAACGAGATGAGCAAGGAGAGGATCGACTGATCCTTTTGAATCCAGGCGGCATGCGCAGGGTTTAGCGTCGTGGTGGAAGCCGTTGCGCCGGAAGTAGTGTCGCCGGAGGTTGGGACGGTGGTGATGGTGGCCAGAGGACACGACAGTTCACCATCTACATAGCCAAGAAGCCCTTGACCGCGGAGGTACGGGACTAGTTGTGTACCCCAAAACAAGTAATTCCTCGCCGTGATTTTAATTGACACAAAATGGTGGGCGGTGGAGAGGGAATTTGAGGTGGTGGCCGGAGTAGGTACGGTGGCTGTGGTGGCGGCAGTCACCGTACGCTCGGAAGAGTTTTTCGACATCGGGGAGGAGAAAAATTAGGAAGGAAACCTAACGCTAACTGATACCAGATGAGAGAGAGATTCAAATTGTATTCAGTTACAAAAATATTACAACAATAGAAACCTATAGGAAGAAAGTAACGTAATACTCTCCTATACAATAGGTTGGGCAGAGTCAACTAATCTACCACCACACAACTATTAACCACATATAATATACACATTAATATTATTATTACTAAAAGGAAGTGAGTTTGCACCACTATTTATACAAGAGCCTTTCTAAGGCTTATTGAATTGTACAGCATAGAGGCTCTCTCTCTCTCTCTCTCTCTCTCTCTCTCTCTCTCTATCTCTATCTCTCTCTCTCTCTCTCTCTCTCTCGCCTGGGGGGGGGTGCAAATCAAATCCCAAAGTGACACTGGAAAGGCTTGACTCGTGTACTACGTCGGCACATGTGGGCACGAATGTCGTCCGGAAATTGGCTAGCCTTGCGGGCTCTAGATTTCCGTACTTCGTGTTCGGTTCGGCCAACTCGTGTACGCCGGCACCTGTGGGCACGAATGTCGTCCAAAAATTGGCTGGCCTTGCGGGCTTCAGATTTCCGTACACCGTGTTCGGTTCGGCCAACCGACAACTCTTGTTGAGTTCGTGGTTCTGTTCGACCAGAGTCGTTGTCGGCCCAGGACGAAAGTTCAAATGCGGCGAGGCCCTCCCGTGTGGCGCTTTTCAGAATACACCAACAACCTTAACGAAAGGCACCAACAGTCTAAGGGAAACACACCACAATGAAATGTAAAAATACACGAAAAAAATACACAACACACCTAAAAAATTACATCATATAACTCCCTACCACTAATGGTATATTTCGAAACATTGTGTGGTATTTTTAGTCATACCTAATGGTGTGTTATTGGTGATGCATACCTAATTTGTGTGTGTTTTTTGTGGTGCATTTCCTGACATTAATGGTGTATATCTTGCTTAATTATTGGTGTATTCTGAAAACCGCCGCACGGGAAGGGATCGTCGCACCTGAACTCGCCTCTCTCTCTCTCTCTCTCTCTCTCTCTCTCTCTCTCTCTATATATATATATATATATATATATATATATATATATATATATATATATATATTATCGTGTCCAGGTGCGAACTGCCCGTCCAGGAGAGAATTGAGAACCATTCAGTGCACGCCACGTGTCCAGATCTAGGTGCACCTAGGTGCATGAATGTTTGCGGGTGGTTTTCACGGGTACTAAGTACCTGCTGAACTCCTCCGCAAGAACAAAAGCGATGCCAAACAGAACGAACTCAGATCAATGAATATTAACAAGGCAAAATTACATGCACTTGTAAGTGATTTTACCTGCACTTTTTACTTGCAAAGGTGCACCAACTACTTGCACATATAACACATTTACATGCACCAAAGGACACGTGGCGCGCACTGGATGGTTCTCAGTTCTCTCATGGGCGAACGTTCGCATGAGAGTGCGTCCATATATATATATATATATATATATATATATATATATATATATATATATATAACCTATGAACTTAAAAGTTAAGGCACAACAATGTACTCTGGATGAAGGGACAATGTGCACGGGAAGGCTTGAAAAAAAATAATTAACTAACTTACACAAAATTACCATAATGCCACCGTATTTTTTTTAATTGTTTAATTCTGGACGTTGATCTTATCCGAATCAATGGATGAGATTACATTCTATTTTTCACCTAATAAAGCTTCTTTTTCACTTGATCCTATATATATATATATATATATATATATATATATATATATATATATATATTAAGAATTACTTATGGAACAAAAACATCAAGAAAATTTCATATGGTTAGATGAATCATGCATGAAGATAATGATGATTATATTGGACATCGCTGTCTTAAGTTATTGGCCACGAAAGTCACACAATGAGCAGTAAACATGCTCCCCATCTAGGGTGTCCTTAGCTCCAGGTTTCGTCTCCCCTTAATTGCCTCTATTAGCTTCCATTGAAACGTTCCGCACGATGGGAGTTTCTTCTTATACAGTATATCTATTAATCATAGCGTTAAACGGAGCTATCATGCACAATTTTTTTTTTTTAAATAATTTTTGAGTGATAGGATGTGTGTGTTTTAAACACGTTTATACATTATATATATATATATATATATATATATATATATATAGATCACTATAAGATCGCTTTATGCCTAATTAGACTCACATCATGTTGGCAAACCTTTCGTTACACTTGACACCATCGACATGATCCTCAATGCATTATGGACACTTGTAAGGTATGCTTGAGCCAGGGCCGGTCCAAACATTTTATAGGCCCATGGCCAAATTAAAAAAAAAAAAAAAAAGTCCTTATATGAAAAATTAAAATTTAAATTCAATAATACTAAAAAAATGATAACATTAAATAAGATTAGAAAATTTTCAACAATTTTTTAAATACATAAACAATCATGACAAAAAATTTCTATGACTTTACTTGATGCAAAATCATCTTTATTGCATCAAAGATTAACATACCCTTCTCAAAACATAAAACAAATTAAAATAAAGCAAATCTTCATATAATAAACTAATAAACTTACAATTTCATTATATACATAGGCATCCTATTAAATAGAATTAAAAGACAAACAGAATTCCTATTTATCAACTCTTATTAAACAACAATACAATATAATTAGAAATTTAGGATTCCTAAATAACAATACAACTATTAATCCAATTTATTTCAATATATACTAACTTTTTTTTTTTGTTTTTTTCAATATATACTAACTAATATTATTATTATTATATATATCTTATGGCTTATGGGCCCCCTCTAGAGATAGGCCCTAGACAAGTGCCCAGCGTGCCCACCCCTCAATCGTTATGCGTTAGACCTGTGTCCAGCATGCTTGCTGGACACGGGTAACAGTGCCGTTAGGCACTGTTATCTTCTTTTTTTTTTTTTTTTTTTTTTTTTTTTTTTTTAAATTTCAGACCGCTTTGTTATAGGAGTATATATTCATAATTTTATTACTATATTATTAATAACTGTACATTCATAACTCCATAACTATACGTTCATAACTCTATAACTGTACATTCATAACTCTATAACTGTACATTCATAACTCTATAATTGTACATTCATAATTTTCGAAACTCTATGTTCACAATTTTAGAGCTCTATGTTCATAATTTTATCACTATATGTTCATAATTGTAAGTTCATAATGTTAGAGCTCTTTGTTCATAATTCGATCAATAACTGTACATTCATAATTCCATAACTGTAGATTCATAATCTCATAACTGTAGATTCATAACTCCATAACTGTAGATTCATAACTCCATAACTGTACATTCATAATCTTCGAAGCTTTATATTCACAATTTTAAAGCTCCATGGTCATAATTTTATCACTATATATGTTCATAATTGTAAGTTCATAATGTTAGAGCTCTGTGTTCATAATTTCATAATTGCATAACTGTACATTCATAACGGCATAACTGTACATTCATAATCCAAAAAAAAAAATAACGCCGTTAACGGCAAAACGCACACGATTTTTTTTTTTTAACTAAATGACGCGTTTTTTTTTTGAAAAACGACGTCGTTTTGAGCCCGTGTCCACAATTCACCGTGGACACGGGTCCAGGGCATAATTTGCCCCCACCCCTCTAGGCCGGTCCTGGCTTGAGCATAAACATGTGTCTAATACATCTTTATAAATACCTAGTGACTTTTTTTTTTATAAAACAATGAGAGAGAACTCAAAAAGCTCATTTATTCTTCATATATGATTTTCGACTCAACACTATATAGGAATTAAGATTATTAATGGTGTATATATTTTTCTCGACAATATATTACTTTTAAGACAATAAATATCTATTCATCTCTAAATAAAAAATATTTATAAATATTTGCTAAGACTAATAAACAGCTCACAAAGAAGTTGACATTATGGTGAACATAATTCGTGCGAACGAGGATTAGTTGAGTACGGTACAAATTTAAAGGTACCTCTTATAATTAAAGTTTCCTTGGGACATCTCTACACCTGAAAAAAAAAAAAAAAAAAAAAAAAAAAAAAAAAAAAAAAAAACTTGTTGTTTAACGTTAAATAAGGCAAAGGAGTAGAGACATAAGGTAAGCCAACTAACTTAACCATCGTCGTCTAACACACAACCACCCTTAAAACCCGACACGGCGCGGCCTTCCTCGCGGCCCTACTTCTCAGCAGTCCCCACAATACTGTTGCTTAACGCCACGGCTCCGCTGCCCACGTTTCCTCTCATCTCAACCTTACATTTCTTTCTCTCTCTACGTTTTTATTTTACTCTGTACTATACAAGTACTCCTTTCTAGTATTATTACCCAGTCCCTACTTCTCTCTTTCTTTCTCTCTCTCTCTCTCTCTCTCCTGAGATTTTTTTGGGCTGCTCAATCATACATCTTCGCCTTTTGGCGAGCGCCAAGAATGGACCCGGAAGGGGCGAGGCTGACCCGGTTGGTTACTTGTAGTGCGGCAATCGCCGGCGGGACGAGTTCCGATGGGGATACGCCGCGGACGATGACGCCGTCGTCTTCGTCTTCGTCGTCCGTGGTAGTGAATCAGGTTCTTCAGCTCATCTGTTCCGACGACCCGGGGGATAAAATCCATGCCGCCATGGAGATCAGGCGCCTCACCAAGACTTCCCAGCGCTACCGACGCCACTTCTCCGGCGCCGTCGGCCCTCTCGTCGATATGCTCCGCTCCGGCTCTGTTGAATCTAACGAGGCCGCGCTCCTCGCCCTTCTCAATCTCGCTGTTAAGGACGAAACGTAAGTGTCGTGGGGCTTAACTTTTGCTGACACTCTTTAATTATTTTATAATTTTTTTTCAAAATCCCATTTTTTCTGCCATGAAAGATTTGTCCTTTTTAGCACCTTATTAGTTATTAATCTATTGTACCATTAGTTTCTTCATAAATTCAGGCCCCCTCTTCTTCGTTACACTATTTTGACAGTTTCATGCTTTTTTTCAGTTTCTGCATCGTTTTCCTTGGCTTCAGTAAGGGATGGTGATTCTTTAATCTTAATGTTCTTTCTTTTTAGTCACCAACCCCACACAGCCCCACTCCTTTAATAAATCACTTTTTTATTTCTTTTCTGGTCCTGCCTTGTTGGGTTTCAGAGAAAAAAGAAATAAACCATATAAAATTGTAAATCTTGATTTTTATCCTTTAAATATCATACTATGGCATCGGAAAAATAAAGCTATCTTTCTTCAACTTATTGGGTCTTAGCTGTGATATACATAATTCAAGCTCAAGATATATCAAAGTGTTAACCTTTATCAGAGAAAACTTGGATCTTTAGTTTTCAGCTTTTCATGGCATCTGCCGACCAAGAACTGTGTGTTGCAATCCTGCCTGATTTGGATTGAAAAAAGCCGCAAAATTCTGTGTTTAGATAACAAAGTAAACAACTTTTTCTTTGCCTGGGTGGGATTTGTGATTGGATCTTTACAAAAATCTTTTCTTTAACAGTAATGGATGGATGTAATGTTTTCTTGATTGCATTTCTTGCAAAGGTGATAAAGGTTGAAGACGTGTTTAAGTAAACTGCTTTTTTAATGTGGTGGGAAATGCTTTGTGCTTCATATTGGTTAGGTTGGGTGGTGGGCTTGTTTTGTTTGTTCTTCACAGTTTGCCTTTTCATCTGTCTTGTTTGTGAAGCTACCATGTTCATTGGATTCTGTTCTGTGAAAGAGAAATTCCATGCTGGTTGCTAAAGGCTAAAGTATTCTCCTTTTTTACCTTTTTTTAATTTTTGGTAGAGTAGAATGGCTGCAACCAATCTTGATATATGTAATGAATTGGAGAATATTTTGTAGACCTCTCAAAACGATTGCTTCTTCGATTATCCTGCCTGGGGAATATCTATCAGTCTTTTTTTTTTTTTTTTTTGTCTTTTGAGATTACTGATTTGGTAATTGGATGTGTGCTCTTACTGTATGATTTGCTTTTCCTTTTTGGGATAAGCACAGATTCTTCTGTTTAATGTTGAATGATCCTCGTGGTACTAGACACTTTGATGCATTAACCCGAGCTCTCCTTTCTGTTTATACATTATGTTTTTCAGTTGCCTCGTTAGCATTCTGGAACGTCTAGGTCTCTGACTTATTTTGTTACTCGAACAATTACAAATGGGATTACATAATGTGTCTTTTTGAAACCTTGTTTTATACCTGTTTTTAATTTGTTGCAGAAATAAGGTGAGCATCATAGAAGCGGGTGCCCTGGAACCGATTATAGGTTTTCTTCAGTCCAAGAATGCGATTCTGCAAGGGCATGCGACTGCATCGCTCCTCACCCTGTCTGCTTCTCCTGTCACGAAGCCGATTATAAGTGCTTCTGGTGCAATCCCTCTTCTCGTGGAAGTCCTAAGAAACGGGAGCCCCCCGCAGTCTAAGGCTGATGCTGTGATGGCTCTTTACAATCTGTCGTCTTATGAAGGCAATATAAGTCCAATCCTTGAGACGGAACCAATTCCTGGTATAGTTAGTTTGCTGAAATCCTGTAAAAGATCTTCGAAAACCGCTGAAAAATGCGTTGCCCTCATCGAATCTTTAGTTGGTTATGAGGAGGGTAGGAGCGCGTTGACATCTGAAGAAGGCGGAGTACTCACGGTGGTAGAAGTGCTCGAAAGCGGGTCCCTTCAGAGCCGAGAGCATGCTCTCGGAGCCCTTTTGACAATGTGTGAGAGTGACCGGTGTAAATATAGGGAACCGATTCTTAGAGAAGGCGTAATCCCCGGGCTCCTAGAGCTGACGGTTCAGGGAACACCAAAGTCTCAAGCAAAGGCACAAACGCTCCTAAGATTGCTGAGAGACTCCCCGTTCCCGAGGTCCGAGCTTCAGGCTGACACGCTAGAGAACATCGTTAGCAACCTCATATCGCAGATAGACGGGGAGGAGCAACCCGGGAAGGCAAAGGAGATGCTCGCTGAAATGGTGCAAGTTAGCATGGAGCAAAGCCTGAGGCATTTACAGCAAAGGGCGCTGGTGTGCACCCCGGGCGATCTGTCTGTCACTACCCGCACCTCGAAAATTCCTTCGAAATGAATCCGTTTCACAACATCATCCCACGCTTTCTTCCCTTATTACCGGGGGTTGTCTTCCCGCTCCCTCTCTTGTAATTGCGAGCTTTGTGGTATCAGTTTTCTGTGCTAGGAAATAAAGATCTCTCTATAGTAAAACAATGCCAGTCCAGGCCCCTTGTTATGGGTATCTGGTGACTGGTCGATGTCGATAAATCTAAAAGGAAATCACAGTGTTTGTAAGCTTAGCTTTTAACATGGCTTTTGTAACATATACTGTGTATTGAAGGTTACATGATCTGTGAGGTTTATTAATTCTCTCTTTTTTTTATGACAAATACTTCTTTTGTGTTGTGATGGTTTAGAGTTTAGTTTAAAGAATTTTGGCTTAGAACTCAAGACTGTTTGTTTGGTTCAGTATCACCATCAGAGTTGTATTGATGGAGTTGGCATTACCTGTTTTGATATAAAAACGTGAAAAGAATTGCAGAATGCAGATACTGATTGGAACTGTAATTACTAAGCTCCTCGAAACAATTCTACTGGTCTAATAGTTGCTGGGTGCAGGTTCGAATCTTGCTAAGAAGGCAAGAACTCAGAAACGGAAGTATGAATTTGGCTTTTTGGCTTTATTGTAGGTACTAGGACACAAACATTAGAGGCTTGTAGGCCAGTTGAGTCACACCTCGTGATTAAAGTTTTTAAGTTTGAGATTTAAGATTGAATTATTATCGTATTCCATTCAAAGAAAAAGTTTATAATCAGCAATATTTGTTGGTTTTTCGGACTTGGAAGTTTTTAGGTTTTCTGGTGTTACTTCTCTTTCAAATGCCTTACCAATTCCCTAAGAAATTGCTAATTTTAATGAAAATGGAGTTGTTTGGTAAAATTTTGGCAAAATAAATGAGACATTAAATTTATATTAAATGTTATTACAATAGTATAACACTGAATGAATCGAGTCAGTTTATACCGTTAAAGTCCGATAGTGTTGTAAAATTTTAAATAAATAATACTGAATTGAAATATTTTAATTAACCAATTATATTATTAAAAGGAAAAAGATTAAATTGAAATATTTTAATTAACCAATTATATTATTAAAGCCAAAATTGTTTTGTAGAAGAATAAGAATAGAATTAAAAGGGTAAAAAAGATGTCGGCGGGCATCATAATCATCTTTACTTGGAACAACTCTATCCAGACTACAAAATCAATATATACTCGTCTTACCTATCAGGTTTGATTATTCCAATTAAAATTGTCAAACAAATTCACATACGAAAAGTCAGAAGTCACTTTATCATCCGGATCATACTGCCCTAGTCCTTACCCATTCGGATCCACGGACAAAGCATTTGTGCCGTGACACATGACGTCGGCCGCAAATTTTGATCGCCTTTATTTCTTTCAGGAAAAAAATAAAATAGGCCATCAAAGGATAGTTAAAAAGTCAATTAATCAACTAAAAATTTTAAGAGTGCAATTACACTCATCAAATAATCTCAAATAATCTATTAGTGCAATGAAGCATAAAAATCAATTTATGACCTGCTATCATAAGTCATTAGGATTTCGACAACCCATGAGCGAGATTCTGGCAAAATTTCAAGCAACAAAGTGACCGGCGACTAGTAAACGATCGTCAGTCACAGAGAAGGAAACCAAGGTAGTCTTCTTCCCGGAGAAGGCAACCACAGTGGTCGTCTTCTTGCTGGAGAAAGCGACCACTATTTTTTCGGCCGCCAGTAACTTTGTTGCTTGAAAGTTCACCTGTGGGTTGCCAGAACCATAATGACATGTGATAGCAGGTTATAAACCATATTTTGGGCTTCATTGCGTCAAAATAAATTGTTGATTGGTGTAATTACACCTTTAAAAAGTTTAGGGGACTAATTGCCTTTTCAGTTAAAGTTCGAGGGTCTATTTGACATTTTTCCCTTTCTTTCAACTTTGACAGGGCGTTTGGTTGGAAGGAAGGAATTAAAGGTGAAAGGAATTGTAATTCGGTGGGAAAAGAATAAGGAGGGAATAAAGTAGGAATTACAATTACATTGTTTGGTAGGGAGGAATAATGAAAATGAGAGAAGTGATATAAAGACTAAAATACCCTTTGTGTAATAATTTTAATAATAACATTCAAGGACCAAACAATGTAGTTTATCATTTCATTGAATTGCAATTCAATTCCAACGCAATTCATGCCAACCAAACACCCCCTAGCTTCTCTCTCTTGAACCTTGTTAGAGTAATTGTAAAATGGGCAAATCCCTTGTGCGTATCAGTATTTGGTCATATCTATTGAATCATTGAATCACAGTGATTTATATCCTCTCATGCAAGGAAATTTAGAGAATTAAAAATTCAAGAGTGGAATATTCATGAATAATTTTTTTTTTTTTGTTTTTTTTTTTTTGTGGGTATAGGTCTGAGCCTCTGAATATTGTTAGGACTCTTGTGTTTGTAGTTGGTTAGGTCTCTTTACTTATCTTCTTATATTGTTATTGTACAGACTATTATTCAGTTACGTTGAATATACAATCCTCATCTGGTATCAGTATCCAGGGTTTTTTCTTTTCATGGCAACCTTGGGAGATAACAATGGCGGTTCTGTTCGCGATTCATCTGAACGGACTGTGTCCGAGGTTGCCCCCAACCCCGTATATCCGAATACTAGCCTATCCTCCGCCCATCACTTCGTGTCTATTAAGCTCACCACCCATAATTACTTGTTTTGGCGTACTCAGATGCTGCCATTCTTGGAAGGCCAAGGATTGCTTGGTTTTGTTGATGGCACACTGCCATGTCCGAAGATTGCTGCGCCAGTACTGCCGCCGACCGTGCCGGTGGAGTCGACGGCGGACAGTGGCGTCTCGCCACCCAGTCCGGCTTCGTTGGTGCATCAGTGGCGTCGGCAGGATAAGACCGTTCTTTCGTTGCTGATTTCGTCCCTGTCCAATGAGATGCTGCCTATGGCGATCGGACGCTCGACGTCGCGGCTACTGTGGACGGCGATCAAGCAGGAGCTTTGCTCGGCGACGCGTTCCCGGGCGTTGAGGCTTCTCGGCGAGCTACAGGGGCTGTCCCAGGGGGCATCATCCGTCTCCGACTATTTGAGCAAGGCGAGAGTTCTAGTTGAAGATTTGGCGCTGGCCGGTCAGGTGATTTCACTTGATGATCAGAATCTCTACGTCTTCCGCGGCTTACGACCGAAGCTACGTCCTCTTGTTGCTCCGTTGACGCGTGGATCTCCGGTAACCTTGTCTGAGCTTTCTGATTATCTAACCTCGCAGGAATATATTTGTGCGCCGGGTGGTGGTGATGCTGCTGCCCCGGCTGCTATGGTAGCGTCGCGTGGCCGTGGTGGAGGTCGTGGTGGCGGCCGCTCGTTTCGTGGAGGCTCGGGCAGTGGCGGCTCGGGCAATGGTGGCCATGGCCGAGGGGGCCGTGGTCGTGGCCGCGGGCGGTCGGACATCCGGTGTCAGATTTTTGATAAGTTTGGGCATTCGGCACGGGCTTGTTTTCGTAGGTATTCGGAGACTACGGATCCTCAGGCTCATATGGTTTTTTCTGGTGCTGAGAATGGTGGTGTTGAGTTTCATCAGTGGTTTCCTGACACAGGAGCCACGAATCATGCTACTCCCGACTCCTCGGTGTTGACCACTTCGACTCGCTATGATGGTCCAGACACTTTACGTGTTGGTAATGGTGCAGGTATGACTATTTTTAGTGTTGGGTCTGCTTCGATAGCTTCTCTTTCTAGGTCGTTTAGTTTAAATGATGTTCTACACGTTCATGGTTTGTCGTCTTCGTTGCTTTCTGTTCAACGGCTTGCTAAAGATAACCGTGTCTTTTTTGAATTTCATCCTGACTGTTTTCTTGTGAAGGATCTCTTGACCAAGAAGGTGGTTTTTAAGGGGGGTACTTCCGGTGGCTTATATTCGTGGCCCACGTCTTCGAGTCCGTCTGCGTATGTTGCTGCGCGTGCGTCGTCTTCTACTTGGCACAAGCGGCTTGGTCATCCACACACGCGGGTGTTGCGTCAAATTTTGCAGTTATCCGGTGTTAGTTCGTTTAATTCTAGTGATTTGTCACGTTTGTGTTCTTCGTGTCAGTTAGGGAAGTCTTCCCATTTTTCTTTACCTCGTGTTGAGACAAAAAGTACTCGTGTGTTAGAACTTATATATACTGATATTTGGGGCCCCGCGCCTGTGTACTCTGTGAATGGTTTTCGCTATTTTGTTCTATTCGTGGATGATTTTACGCGTTATGTGTGGTTTTATCCTATGCATGCGAAAACGGATATTTATTCTATCTTTGAACGGTTTCGGTATCTAGTTGAGCTTTCGTTTTCCCATAAAATTGTGTCTATTCAGTCTGATCTAGAGGGAGAGTACAAAAAGCTCCACTCTACTTTTGAGTCGCTTGGTATTCGTCACAGGCAGTCCTGTGCGTATACACATGAACAGAATGGTCGGGTAGAACGCTGTCATCGGCATATAGTTGAAACTGGGTTGGCTTTGATGGCTCAGGCGTCTATTCCCTCTCGTTTTTGGGATTATGCATTTGAGGCTGCGGTTTACTTGATTAACAAGATGCCCACTCGTGTGTTGAACGATGAGTCTCCTCATTTTTGTTTGCATCGTTCACCTCCCTCTTATTCCTTCTTGCGTGTTTTTGGCTGTCTGTGCTTTCCTTTGTTACGTCCCTATAATCGTAATAAATAGGAATATCGTTCGTCTCCCTGTGTTTTCTTAGGGTATCCTGATTCTTTCCGAGGCTATCGTTGTCTGAATCCTAACACTAATAAGGTCTTTATCTGTCGCCATGTGTGATTTGATGAGTCCGTTTTTCCTTTTGCTGGCTCTCTTTCCTCGCAAGTGGTTTCTTGGCCCTCGGTTGCTCCTTGGGGTGTTGCTCCAGTTGTTTCTGTTTCCGTGCCTCCTCCTTCTATTGAGGTGGTGGATGGTGTTTTTGAGGAACAGGTTGCGGATTCAGAACCGGTGCCGGTAGATTCTGTGTCTAGTGAGCGGACGGTTTCTGATCATGGTTGGCCGGCTCGTGTTTGTTGTCCTCGCCGTGGGACTAAGGTGGTTGGTCCTCGCTCTCATGTTATGGCCACGCGGAGCATGGGTCCTCAGGAGCATGTGGCTTTGGTGTCTACTGTTGATCCTCCTGAGCCCACATGTTACTCACAAGCAGTCAAGCATCCAGAGTGGCGTGAGGCCATGGATGCTGAGTTTAATGCTCTGCTTCAAAATCAGACCTGGCGACTTGTTCCCTACACTCCGGGGATGAATGTTGTGGGGTGTAAGTGGGTGTTTCGTGTCAAGAGGAATGCTGACGGGTCTATTAGCGGCACAAGGCCCGGTTGGTTGCGAAGGGCTTTAATCAGATTGCGGGCAAGGATTTCTTTGAGACGTTCAGTCCGGTTGTTAAGCCCACCACGTTCGTCTTCTACTTTCTTTGGCATATTCTTGTGATTGGTGTATTCGACAGCTGGATGTGCATAACGCCTTCCTTAATGGGCGTTTGGCTGAGACGGTGTATATGCGTCAGCCTCCAGGATACGAGGACAAGTCAGTACCTGATCATGTTTGTTTTTTTACAGCGCTCTCTGTATGGGCTTAAGCAGGCCCCGCGTGCATGGTTTACCTGGTTACATAATTTTCTTCTTTCATTTGGCTTTGTTCCGTCGAAGACTGATGTTTCTTTATTTATTTATTCTGATCATGGTGTGCAACTTTATTTTCTGGTTTATGTCGATGACATTCTTGTCATGGGCTCGGATTCACATCGTGTTACTGGGCTGGTGGATCGGCTTGCTCAGGAGTTTAAAATTCGGGATATGGGGCCTCCGTCTTTCTTTCTGGGTATTGAGACTGTTTCTCTTTCTGATGGTATTCTTCTGTCTCAGCGCCGTTATGTTCAGGACATTCTCAAGCGTGCAGGGATGGTTGACTGTAAACCGGTTTCTACTCCGGTCTCAGTTGCTCGTTCTGATGACGGTGATGCTGATCCTACGCACTACCGTGGGCTAGCGGGTGTCTTGCAGTACTTAACGGTGACTTGCCCTGATTTGTCTTTTGCGGTGAACAGGCTTTGCCAGCGCATGCAGGCTCCTACTACTGCTGATTGGTCTACGATGAAGCATGTGTTGCGGTATGTGAAAGGCACTCTTGGTATGGGGCTGTGTGTTCGAAAGTCTTTGTCCACCTTGCTGCATGCGTTTTCTGATTCGGATTGGGTTGGTAGTCCGGATGATAGGAAGTCCACCAGTGGTTTTGCTGTGCTTTTGGGCTCTAATCTGATTTCGTGGTCATGTCGGAAGCAGCGCACGGTGGCGCGTTCCTCTACTGAGGCTGAGTACAAAGCCTTAGCTGATGTGGCAGCTGAGGTAACATGGCTGGTTTCTTTGCTTCGGGAGATTGGTTTTTCTCTAGCTTCTGCGCCTAGTCTATGGTGTGACAACTTGGGACTTACGTATCTATGTGCCAATCCGGTTTTCCATGCTCAGACTAAGCACGTGGAAATTGACTACCACTTCGTCAGAGACAAGGTCGCCAAAAAGGAAATTCAGGTTCACTTTATTTCCACGAAGGATTAGATTGCTGACATCTTTACCAAGCCACTTGCGTCTACTCGGTTCTCCTATCTCCGTGACAAACTCAACATTTCGACTGCTCCACCTTGAGCTTGAGGGGGAGTGTTAGGACTCTTGTGTTTGTAGTTGGTTAGGTCTCTTTACTTATCTTCTTATATTGTTATTGTACAAATTATTATTCAGTTACGTTGAATATACAATCCTCATCAATATGATTAACTTTATATTTAAAAAAAATTAGTGTTCTATTTGAATTATGCGCAGATCATTTTTTTTTTTTTTTGTGATTATTAATTTATTATATTTTAAAATTTGAAATTTGGAATTATAATTGTGAGAAGCTTCAACATTAAAAACAAAATAATCATAGGCATTACTCAATACATTTTCATGCTTCTTAGCAATGGTTTTTTTTTTTTAATAAATAATATTGTATATATTCTATACTTTCTTAATCATATCATTTTTAACCCATTATGGTATACAATTATGTACATTTTTTATACAATTATGTACATCCAAAACATAAAATTTATGTGTATTATGTTAAGAGTTTATGTGTATTATGTATTATGTTAGAATATGTGTATTATCTTTTCAAAAAAAAAATATGTGTATTTTGTTATACAATTATGTACATTTTTTAACATGAAATTTTTATAAAGAAATTTAACAACTGACACAGGATAGCGAAATTATATAAAAAAAAAATAAAAAAAAATCCCCCACGTCATTTTACACCAGGATGCATAATGCAATGCGCGCCCTGGTGCACGATATAAATTGCCACTTTCCTTGCTCTTTCGAGGGCTCTATTAACCTCTGCTATTTGTAACTGAATCCAAATATCCAATAACTTAAATTTTCTGCCCATCCCCAATTCTCTTACCATTGAATATCCTTTCATTCCGCCATTGAATATTACATCATCTATTACAATCGTTGTTTAATACCCCGTAATATTAAATTAATAATAATGTTATTATTATTAGGAATAATTATTGTTAAATAGGTAACTGAACTTATTATTTTTATGCAATTAGATCACTAAATTTAAAAATTGTGCAATCAAATTATCAAACAAGTAAAATTTGTGCAATTGAGGCATTTTTATGATTTCTTTTAATGAAATTTTAGTTGAAAGCATTTATCTTTTATCTCAATTAGTACGAGAAAGAAAAGTGTGATTCTTAATTAGTAACAGTATTCAAAAAAAGTTTGGTTTTAGTATATAAAATTTATATATTCTGAAACTAAATAAAAAGTAATATTAAATACAAAAAAAAATTTAAAAATAATTAAAAAATATTAAAATAATAAGGAATGAAGAAAGAATTGATTTGAATAATGAATAATAAATATGATAGGTAAAATTAGGCATGGGCATTTATTTATGAAGTCTCGAAATCAATTTGGTTAATAAAATTATAAAAATATAAAATGGTTCCGGGTCTTGCTTATCCAGATCAGGTCCGTCCATCTATCCACGGGAATGGCCATTATCCCGTGAGAGTGGGCGCCGGGGCGGGGAGGGTCAAGTACGTAAAACAAACACTATAAATATTAGATACATAAACCTCCTTAATCCTCGTATAGTACCAAACCCTATCCAAATTACATATATCCAATCTATCCTATTTTGCAAACTACTCCTGTAACTACCGTGACTGTGTGTGTTAACGACAATGACGAAATGTGATGATAGGGTTGAGGAGGAGGCGATCTCGAATATGGAACAAGGAACAGCCACCGGCACCGGAACGTCGACGTTTCGAAACGCAGGTTCATCTTGCGTGATGGCTTTCACTACTGCTCAGAAGGTATATATATATATATATATATATATATATATATCGTATCATCCTTAATATATCTATAATCTACGATTCTGCGTAGGTTGGTTTGGATTTTGTGGGCAAGGAAGAAATTAACGACGGAGCGAATTGTTTATTTGAATTGTTGTAGTTTTTAGCGGAGGTGGTTGGGGTTTACTTCATAATATTCGCGGGATGTGGATCGGTGGCGGTGAACAAGTTATACGGCGGCACGGTTACGTTTCCGGGGATATGTGTCACGTGGGGATTGATTGTTATGGTCATGGTTTACACATTGGGTCATGTTTCCGATGGCCATTTTAACCCCGCCGTCACTCTCACCAACGCCATCTTCGCCCGCTTCTCATGGAAACTGGTAATGAACTTTACTCACTTATGAGAGAAATCTTACAATCGCTCCAAAAATCTCAATTCCTTTTACAAATCACATAAAATAGTTAAACCATATTAAGAATAAAGAGACCTATACACTATGTCCAGTTAAGATGATATTAGTAAAAATTGAATTCACTAGTCACGAGTGCTCTACTCACTTAATCATCTTATCTCTTTCAAACAACACAAAAGGCTAAATTCTCCGGCCCCTAAGACCTCTTCACCCTCCTCTAGGTACTTAGTGACCATCCTTTAGGTAGCGTATAAGAGTTATCACATTGAGACATGTAACATTTTTGTTGTTTCCAAGATATATAACGTCCTTAATTAGATTATACATGGTACATAATATTTAGATTTTGCTTGTTATAGTAATACACTAATACGTAAGTGTATAATAATCGTGGTAGTATTCAAATTTTACTTATTATGGCACTAATTCATATAGTATAATAATTTGCCATCATGACATTAGATTTAGACAATGTTATCTTTTAATTGTCCTTTAAATAACTATTTTATTAGTCTAAAAATCATAACACAAAAGCTTGCTTAAAATTATGGAATAAGGGTCAAATATGCCACTCAACTGCGCACCAAACTATAATTAAGTCATCGAACTAAAAAAATGCAATTGAGTTCCTAAACAATACAAATTCATACAATTTAATCCAAAATGACCTATATGTTTACCTGGAAGTAGGCTAGCGTCAGTTACCGATTTTAAAAATAAAATTTTAAAATAATTGTAAATAAAATAATTAATTAAAAAAAAAAAGAATTACCATCTTTAAAAATTAAAATAATTAACCTTTCAAAAAAAATTAAAATAATTAATTATGTAAAATTATTTTAAAAAATTATTCAAGGACTCAATTACATGTTTTTTTTCTATTTCACCCTTACTCTTAAAATCATTAACCAAAATAGTTATTGGCTCACTGACATTCACATCCAAGTATCCAAGTACTTTTTTGTCTTTTCGGTCCCTGACTTATTTTACATATTTCAAATTGGTTCCTCTATTATTTTTAGTCTTAGATTTATACATAGCAGTTCATTAAGTCTTTTTTTATCACAACATCAACTTTTGGTCATAATATTATTGTAACCAGATTATTTTTGGTTCAATAGTATAAATATACTTAAATACAAAGACATTACAGTCTTCAAATATGAATTTTTTTTAAAAAAAAACATAAAAATATAGCTGTTCAACCTATTTTGTATATTTTAACGACATTTTAATGATTTTATTGATGGTGGACTAAAAATAGTCCTATCATAATCATAATAATATTAGGACCAAATATGAATGTTCTAATAAAAAATTGAGAAGAATGGCTGAAATGCATGTGTAGGTAGATACGTGCAATTCCGAAAATATGACAAAAGAAAAATTGGACAAATAATATTAGGACCAAATATGAATGTTCTAATAAAAAATTGAGAAGAATGGCTGAAATGCATGTGTAGGTAGATACGTGCAATTCCGAAAATATGACAAAAGAAAAATTGGACAAAATTATGAAAAAACATTTGAGAAATGCGTTATATCACATTTCCAGTCAAACTAAAAACGAACGCAAGTCAGACCTGCGTTTCTCGAGAAACGCCCAAGGCAACCAAACTGGTCGCCTTCTACTTCGCTGGTTTCACCAGTTTGGTTGTCTTCTCCTTCGCCGGAGAAATCGGCGGCCAATTTTGGTCGCCCGGAGACACCAAAAAAAAAATAGTTTGCGTTTCTAGTTTGACCGGAAATATGATAAAACACATTTTTTAAATGTGTTTTTCATAATTTCGTCCATTTTTTTTCGACATATTTCCAAAATTACATGTGCCTACCTACACATTTTAGTCATTTAACTAAAGTGAACTATCATCACTTATAAAAATATGACAACAAATGAAATTAATTTTATATATGGTCATCATCATTAAATTTATACGTGCAGGTGCCAGTCTATATTGTGGCTCAATTAATTGGTTCAATCCTCGCTAGTTCCACATTAGCCATGATATTCGACATAACACCCGAAGCTTTCTTTGGCACTCTCCCCGCCGGATCCAACTTGCAGTCCTTTGTTGTAGAAATTATCATCTCCTTCCTCCTCATGTTCGTCATTTCCAGCATTTCAACAGACGATAGAGCAACGGTACTATACATTCCTCTCTTTTACTGTCAATTCCTTAACACTACACCCTTTTGTTGTTTCTCAATCTTAAAATCTTGTCTGGTCTGAAATATAATGCAGGTAGGAGATTTGAGCGGAGTCGTTATCGGAATGACCATCCTTTTGAACGTGTTGGTTGCTGGCCCGATTTCTGGAGCGTCAATGAACCCAGCCAGAAGCATCGGGCCGGCCATTGTGAAGCATACTTACAGAGGCCTGTGGGTATACATACTCGGACCCATAATCGGAATGGTAGCCGGAGCATTTGTATACAACGTGCTTAAACTCACTCACAAACCGGCCAGCGACTCGAGCAGAACCAGATCATTCCTCAAACAGCTCAGAAGTTAGCTAGCGCTATGGATTCTTTGTATTATCTGCACTTCTCTCGTAGGAGATCAGAGCGCTACAAAACTGTAGTTGCAGAGTATAATGCCTGTTTAGCTAGCTTGCAGTTCATATAGTTCATTGTCAATGTATCAGTATTTGATATAAGTATTTTTTCCAGTATGATGATGGAGCGTTTAATTAATTAAAATTCATAAATTGTAGAGTGTTTTCTGCATAACTTTATTTTATATGAAAAGTTAATAGGCAATTGAATAGATACTCCGCATAAACGGACAGGAGCAGGCGGAGCAGTTAAAGAAAAATATAAATAGTCATTGACGTCATTTCAATCCTCTGCGACGACTCTGAGTCAGTCAAGAAACCAGTGAATGATTGATTGAATTGGAGCGAAATTTGATTCCGATCTGTCTGCATGTAGAGTGAATCTTTAGCCATCTAATCCTCGCCGGAGTATACTCTTCGTTCGGATTGGATTCTATGTACCTCTAAAATATACTCAGGAATTGTTGATTAGATTGTGTTACAAAATTTCGGTTGAGGGGGGATAGGGTTTTAGGAAGATGGAGGATTTGTTGGAGAATTTGGTTTTGGAGGATGCATCGGGACCGGAATCGCCTATAACGAAGGAGGAACTATGTATGGAGATTGATCCTCCGTTCAAGAACGTCGTCAACGCCGAGGACTGGCGGGGGGCGCTTAACAAGGTGGTTCCCGCGGTGGTCGTTCTCCGGATCACCACATGTCGAGCTTTCGACACTCAGTCTGCCGGTTCCAGTTACGCAACCGGCTTCGTTGTGGATAAGTGCCGGGGAATCATACTCACAAACCGCCACGTGGTTAAACCTGGTGATTTATGTATACTATGGCCTGTATATTATCGACGGAGGCCTTGATTTTGCTGTGTTTAACAGGAACGGGAAAATGAATCAAGTTTTCTTTGAGATTTTTTTTAAAAAGAGTACTGATGATCAATTTGTTTGTAGGACCTGTGGTGGCGGAAGCTATGTTTGTGAACCGTGAAGAAACCCCTGTCTATCCAATATACAGAGACCCTGTGAGTTTTCTGTTATTTGGTGACTTTATATGCTTACATTGATTACTTCAAACATATGGCACCATTTTCTGAAAGGTACAGATTAAGAAATGAAAGCAAGAAAACCTAGATTGTAACAGGCTCCCAATTTTGTGGAATAGCTTTCCAGGGAGGAGTTGGCTGAAGGGGTTGATGTGTTTTGTTGTTAGGGCAGCCTTCTTGGTGTTTCCTCACACTATTCATACCTATTTGTCTCCTAGCTACTTTGCTGAACAAGGATCCAAAAAAATTGTTTTATTTTATATATTCTCAAAAGTATGAGGGTTGGCTAAAAATATAAAATCACACATTAACTCAATTAATCCGATATCTAACAGTGGCAATGCTTTTCAATGATGTGGAGTGTCTTGATTGGATCTGCATGATTTCTTGAATTTGCCAAGGGAGTGTGATTTGAAAGAGGTAGAGTGCGTGGATTAGAGTAACTTTAAAAAACTTGAGCCTGTATATATTGTGTCTTGTACATGCTGCAATCATACATTTGCAACACTAATTTCTTTACTATTAGATACAAAACGGTCATCTTGTTAAATTCAACAAATTTACTAATTATTATGCAGGAGAGATGCTGAGTAGGAATTTCTCTTTCCCAATTAGTAGATTGCTTGTTATGACTATAGTTATTCTTCTCTGACTGAGGTCTTCATGGGTGTGCAAAGCCAAAAACACTCTCTGGGTGGCTTGATTTCATGATAAATTTATGTTAGTTTTAACGTCTTAAAAATGTCTTCCTTGGAACTGTCTTGTTTTGCTTCATAACTGATCCTTGATTATACCTTCTTGAGATTCATCACTCTTTTTGTGTTGTGAATAACTTTTAATCTATTTCCTAGGTTCATGATTTTGGGTTTTTCCGCTATGACCCTAGTGCAATAAAATTTCTGAGCTATGAAGAAGTTCCTCTTGCTCCTGAAGCTGCTTGTGTAGGACTGGAAATCAGGGTTGTTGGAAATGATAGTGGAGAGAAGGTATATAGATTAAAAGACTGTTTATGGATATGTTGTTGACTCTATGTAATTTCTTTCTCTTCTTTGGAGTATTCTTGATGCCATTGACTTGGAAAATATTTCTCGAAACAGGGGTTTTATACAGTACTTTAATCAGTATTTTTGTGATGGTCCGTTTGCTCTTTGTGCGTCCCACATAACAACAGATTTTGTATTTGGTTGAACGAAAGAAAATGAGATGAAATATCTTGTACTCGTTCTAATGACATTATACAATCATTAACTGGTTTGGTGGATGGTCATGACCGTTGACAAATAATAACACTATTATTTATTTATTTTTTGGGAAGTTTTGATGGAGGCATAATTTATGTTGCTTGATTATTACCTTATTTTATCTTCATAGCATGGCAATAAAGAGTAAGAGTACGTTGCCCTTTCAAGAGGTGCACATAGATCAAGGTGCTGTTTATCATTTTGGTGATTTTCTATGTCAGTTATGACCATCATGGAACATGCAGGCTTAAGTTTTAGACACATTTTAGGATGCTTGGAGGCCATCGGGGTATAAATTATCTAAATTAGGAATCCATTTAAATTCACCAAATTTATCCAAATGAACTACTTTAAGGCTTGATAAATAGAGCAATGAACAAATCGGGATAGGGATAAGGTGATATTAAAGAGAGAATATTTGAATGGCACCCTTGAACTAAATGTGTGCTGTTCACAATTTACAGGTCTCTATTTTGAGTGGCACCCTTGCACGTTTGGATAGGGATGCTCCAAATTATACGAAGTATGTTTTCTTTTAACTTCTCTACTCAACTAAGTGTTTACGATGAAAGGTGAGGATAAATATTGTTTTGTTTCATTGCAGACTCTACACAATTCTTAATTTTAGGTTTCTCAATCTCTTCTCTTGCTGTAATCTTCATTGAACATTTGCACCTTGATTTCCAACTGTGTTTTATTCACTAGACTAGATTGGACCTCTCTGCGGGTTACCTGTCAGAAAAATTGCTTGAGGTTGAGGTTGATTCCACTACAAAACTAGTTGTATTGTGTTCTGCTTTGTGGATTTCAATTCTCAATTCAACTCTCTTTAATCGTATATTTCTATATTTATTTGGCTTTTTTGGTAGTAGTCTCTGTACTTGATATTGTATCACATATTGTAGGTTAGATCTTCTTTTGTATACCATTCCACCTACCGACTTAGTTGTTTTGGTATTTTCCTGTGTCTCATTTTTATTCATGACTGAATTGCAAAATTTTTTCAGTAAAATGCTTATTAAAATTACTATTTTTTGGTGCAGGAATGGTTACAATGACTTCAATACATTTTATATACAAGTAAGCATTATGCTTTGATTGGTTTTTTCTGCACACTTGCACTAAGTGAGAGTGGGTGACTTAGCGTGTCACACTGTCACCCCTTGGAGATGGTGATCTTAATCCCTTTCTCTTTCATTGTACTACAGGCTGCATCTGGGACTAAAGGTGGTTCAAGTGGCTCTCCAGTAATTGACTGCCAAGGCAGAGCAGTTGCTTTAAATGCTGGGGGCAGGTCATTAAGTGCCTCTGCTTTTTATCTACCTTTAGAACGAGTGAGTGCATATTTCTCTGTCTCTCTCTTTATTTTTTGCGCCAAATTCTGTGCTTCCAATGGCTGAGAGAAGGTTTCCTAATGTTATTGTCTCACAGATTTGCTGCTATTTTCACTTGGGACTAAACCTAAATTACCATTAATTACTTTATAGATGCTTATTGGCCCAAGTAATAGTTCAAAAGTATCCTCACTACATCTATGTGCGTTTGTCTATAATGATGCGTTCACTCTCCTTTTCCCCTTCATATTGTTTACTGAAGCTATGACTTTCTTGTTAATTTCTTAGTTGCAGGAACATACTATTACTAAGATTTAAATTTTAAATTGCCTTTCAGGTCATGAGGGCTTTGAAATTCCTACGAGAAGGAAGAGTGTATTCCACGAACAAATGGGAGGCTGTCTCCATTCCTCGTGGTACACTTCAGGTTTGTTAGTTCATTTTCATTTGGAGTTTTCTAAATGTTCTTTGTTCTGAAGTTTATTTAATCAGAAGACCATGCTTATTAATCATCATTCTTTTTGGAGGAGGGATAAACATTTCCTTTCCTGGAAACTCCTGTTACTCAATTAACTCTTTGTTAGTTACTCAATCAAAATTATTCAGAGATTGTGGCATTGTTGTTTCTAAATGAAATTCATCCTCAGGAATTGAGGTGAAGCTTTCTCTTTGGTGTTTATTTTTCTCCTACATTAAAGGGCATTTTGTACTTTTTCTTCTGCATAAATTTGACACTACTTGCAGTATTTCCTCCCCCTGCTTTTGGTGAAGGTATGATTCAGGTCTTGCTATTTATGGTGTAGGCAACATTTATCCATAAAGGATTTGATGAGACCCGCCGGCTTGGTCTTCAAAGTGAAACAGAGCAGGTATATGGGATTCATGATCTCATTTTCTTTCTTACATTTAGAAATTAGAATGGTTAAATAATCATACATTTTTTTTTTTGACTAAATAGTTAGTGCGTAATTCATCCCCCCCGGATGAAACTGGAATGCTTGTTGTTGATTCTGTGGTAAGTGTATCATCCTTGGTGCTTATTCCCTAAATTATCTCGTTAACAATATTTATTAGAGATCTGGTTTATTACAGGTGCCAGGTGGTCCAGCTTATAATCGATTAGAGCCAGGTGATATTCTTCTTCGAATGAATGGGGAGGTTAGTCTTCCCTTCCATCTCGATCTCCTCTTTGTGTGTGTGTGTGTCTATACACACAGATTTTAGAACTAATAAGTCTTCATCTCAACATAGATTCCCAAGCACTGTTAGAAAAAATCCCATTAACCTTAAGTTAGTAAAACTACTTCCTCCACTAGAAGTGTTGGTTGGAGTGACCTCCCAAAATACCAAAATTTTATCCAAGACACGTCATTTAGAGAATCTGGTGAATTGAAAGTCTTCCTAATAACTCCTTAGCAAAATAGAAATGCAAGTATAATTAGTGGCCCCTTTTTTAATCCTGCCTGCATATTAAGCAAATGTGAGAGTATGATCTATTTTCTATGTACTTTTTAATAAATAGAAGTAATGTTTGAGTTTCTCCATTCTTTCCCCATTAATGTCTGTACATCTTGACTAACCATCCTCACCATCTTCCTTAATCATTCATAATTTACTGAACCAATGCCCCTGAAGTCATTAAAGAATTAATAACCACCATAAATATTGGATACTTAGTGCAAATGGTGGGTGGTGGTGGGCCATTTTCCAATTCAATTGATTTAATGCTTTCAGACCTTACTTGAAGAATTGAATATTATTCTGCTAAGTTTTAATATATTGTTATTTTCTTAGGTGATCAGGGTATTTGTCATAAATTGATCATAGTATTTTGCTGACTCTTAAGATATTTACTGCAGGTGATTACCCAGTTCCTCAGAATGGAAATTATACTTGATGACAGTGTCAAGCAGAAAGTTGAACTTCAAATTGAAAGGGGTGGTATTTCATTGACCATTAACTTGGTGGTGAGTTATTGTTCATGTTGGATCACTGAATCACCCAGAGCATCTATTCTAGTGATACAATACTCCTTGCATCCAACTTTTCCTGAATTAATTTTCTGGAATTTAACAATTGCAAGTTGGAATATCAAACCGATAATTTTTATGCCACTTGATTGTAAATTTGCTAGATAGTATCTTTTTGCATAACTAGTTTATATATTCTAAATCTAAGGTTGTGAGGTTTTCTTCTTGTTTATTGTAGGGAAAATGGCACTTATGGTTCCCCAATTATAGGCGCCTCTAATTTTTTACTCCAAGTATTAGTGTAGTCTCTAACAGTTCCTTTTCAGTGGGGGAAAATTGCCACTACACTGATAATTGGAGGACCAAAGCTGGAGGCGCCTCTAATTGGGGACTAAATGCACAATAATCCTATAATTGGCGGACAAAAAGTGTGATTTTCCGTTTATTGTATTATTATTATGTTCTTAAAGTGTGGGCTTAGTCCCTTGGTTAATTTTAGGTTCAGGATCTGCACTCAATAACTCCTGACTACTTCTTGGAAGTCAGTGGTGCAGTGATGCACCCTCTTTCTTATCAACAGGTTTGTAATATTTATTAGCTCTTCTAAAAATGTATGGTGTAATATTTATTTTCAATAATCCTCTTGGCTTTACATTGACTTGAAATCTCCCTAATGTAATACCCATAAATTTCAAACATGTATTGAATTCTCAGAAAATCATAATGCATAACAGACTAATGATGTAATTCTCTGTTTATTTTAGTAACTTCTTTTTGATCCAGTTCATTAAGATGCTGTAACCTGCTAATGCTGCTTGCTTAATTTTCTAATTCCATTCCTCTTTTGACACAGGCTAGGAATTTTCATTTTTCTTGTGGCCTTGTCTATGTTGCAGAACCAGGGTTTGTATTTCACTTTTGCATAAATGTAGATGTTTGATTTAAAAAAAAAAAAAAAAAATCTATTAGTCAGTATTTTTTGTTCTTTCAATTCTGAATAAATTGGCTATTTTATTCATTATCATTATTTTGATGCCTCCAATTTATGGAAAAATCAATTAATACATCTTTATGTTATTCTTGTGACAGATAATGTTTTCTTGATTGTTATTCCCCTAACTGTAATTGCAGATACTTGCTCTATAGAGCAGGAGTTCCTTGCCATGCTATCATTAAAAAGTTTGCAGGTAAAGATATATCAAGACTTGAGGATTTAATTTCTGTCCTATCTAAGTTGTGTAGGGGTGTAAGAGTACCACTACAGTATATAAGCTGCAGAGATCGCCACAGAAGAAAGGTATTGGTGCTGCAGTGCAGATCCTACTAACATTTTTTAATTTATTATTTTGCTCTCTTTCATATAAAAGCCTTTTTCTTCCCGTCGTTGTCAAATTGATGCTGGTATCCTATTGTAGTGACATCATACAGTGGCTGGTTTTCTTTTAGCTTTGCCATTATCAAACTGCATAACAGTAGAGCAATTTACATTTGAAAATAAGTTGAAGGCTTGTATAGGGTAAGAGAAATATAGTACCATGATCATTCTGTTGAAACCATGTCTTCCCAACTAGTTCATCAAACATAGTTTTGATCAGCGTTTTCCTCCCACATTTCTTTTATTTTGATTTTAGAAAATAATGCGAGCATCATCTCTGGAGGGAGATTATTAAATTTGAGGGGTATTTGATAGAATTAAAATGAATTAACAATAATCACACTCTTGTAGTAATTGTTTGCCAAATAAAGTAACTCCATACTTTTTTCCCTAAAAGTTTTGATTTACAATTAAAGTGACTTGCAAAAATTAATCTCATAGAATAACTAAAATTCCTTTGCCCAACGCTGGATGGCAAAAGTCTTCCAATCAGTTTATCTACTTTTGGGTGGGTATTGCATGGCTTATCTTATGAACTCTTTCTCCGTGCAGTCAGTTTTAGTCACAATTGACCACCATGAGTGGTATGCCCCGCCTCAGATATACACCCGCGATGATAATTCTGGCTTATGGATAGCTAAGCCTGCTTTTTCACCTGGCTCGCTTCTCTTGTCTGGCATCGATCCTGTCAAACAAGATCTGTTGTACAATACTGTATCATCTTGTGCTGGTGAATCTAGTCCAATGGATGGCACACCTCAACATGTTGGTCAGAATTCAACAGATGACATTACAAATATGGAAACCAGTTATAAGTGTGTTGCAGAGGAAGAGAACTCATCTGCTGATGGAATTGTTGTATCTGATTGTTCCTTGCAAGATCTTACAAAAGAAAGATTGATGGACACAGGGACTGTAGATGCTGTAGTTGTCAAAGATGATGAAGCAGAGTTAGGTAATGCCTCCATTGTTGAGCATGCAATTGAGTCCACTCTTGTGATGTTTGAGGTAACTATTTCATGGCTTTGTCTTAAGTTACAAAATCTGTTGTCTTGTTGCATGAGCCTAATATCTATAGGCTGTGCACTACCAAAAGAGTGACTATATAAAGCCAAAAGGTTCCTAGAAATATGAAGAAAATACATGTTTATTTTCAATAAGAAGTATCTCTGATATCTACGCTTCAATTATTTCAAGTTAAGTATACTCTTTTCTGTGGTAAAAATTTGTAGGTTCATGTTCCATCATCTTGTATGCTGGATGGCATCCACTCACAGCATCTTTGTGGAACTGGTGTGATTGTATATCATTCTGAAACCATGGGCTTGGTTGTTGTTGATAAGAACACTGTTGCAGTGTCAGCTTCTGATATCTTGCTCTCTTTTGCTGCTTTTCCTATTGAAATCCCTGGGCAGGTACTGTTGTAAACAATTTAGCTGTAGAAACTTTAATTTTCTGTTGTTAAGCAGCTTAGTTTGCTTAAAAGGTAGTCTTCCTCCATCCGGTGCACAATTTTGCTGTTGTTGCATATGACCCTAAAGCACTAGGAACTGTTGGTGCTTCTGCCGTTCGCGCCGCTGAGCTTCTTCCTGGTAAACTTTTGCTTTCCCTATGCATTGGGTCTTATTCAATCCACAGCTCCATTTCACCTTAATATTCATTAGCTACTGGAAGAGATTGGCCGGCATTTGGTGATGATCTTGCACATATATACACGTACATACATATATGTGTATATAACTATATATGCTTGTGTGTGGGGTGCGCATGTGTATTTGATTGTGTATATTCTTCTGGCAATACCATTCAATTACTTTTTATTAATCTTGGCGTTCTTCAAGTGCGAAAGTTTTTAATTCCCATATTAATTCTTAAAAAGAAAAAGAAACTTAGACTTACATATCCCAGGATTTTCTATCTTAAGGTCAAATTGTAGTGTAAGGAGGAAAAAAATGCACCGCATCCCGATTAATAATAATGGTAATAAAAATAATCCATAATCTAAACCCTAATCGCTGTAATTACTGTCTCTAAGAAAAAATGTCCTGCTTCACTTTGTTTTGTTTGTCATAAGGTTTGCAGTAATATTTTTGTGTTGATTGCAGCACCACTATAACAAAAAAAAAAAAAAATACTATCCTTTGTATTCCTTTGGCCCAAAAAAGGGCTTCATCATAGAGGACAAAATTTAATTGTGCTCTCTTGGTTTATAGTTTTGCTTCACAACCCTGGAGTATTCTATCAAAATATTTTCCTTCCTTCTTTGACTCTTTAGTTTGGCTTCAACAGAACCCCCTCTTTGTCGTGGAGATACAGTATCTCTTGTGGGATTAAGCAGAAACATACGGGCAAAATCCAGGAAATCAATTGTCACAAATCCTTGTGCTACCTTGACCGTTGCATCAGCTGATTGTCCACGGTATAAAGCAACAAACATGGAAGTTATTGAACTTGATACTGGTACGTTGAACTTGCCATTGTGTTCATAATTTTAGACATTCTGATTTCCAGTTGTAGTCTGTAAACTTCTTTTTTTTTTTTTCCCCTTCCTAACCTGGGGCATAGAATTGTTTTCCTTGACGTTTCAGATTTTGGTGCTTCATTTTCTGGTGTGTTGACTGATGAGTGTGGACGAGTTCAAGCCCTATGGGGCAGCTTTTCAGCTCAGGTTCATAAACACAAACATCTGTCCTCAAAAACAAGAAGTAAAAAGGTCGGTACTGCAATTTTCTCATGAGAGATGAGCTTTTATAAAAATGAGTTTTAACAGCCGCATCAGCATTTCCAGCTCAAGTATGGTTCTAATTCATCAGAAAATCATCAGTTTGTCCGTGGAATTCCAATTCTTACAATTAGTCAAGTCCTTGCAAAGATCATTTCTGGTGCTGCTGGACCCCCTCTTCTTATAAATGGTGTCAAACAGTCTATGCCACTTGTGAGAATATTAGAAGTTGAACTCTATCCTTTGTTGCTTTCCAAAGCCCGCAATTTTGGACTAAGTGACAGTTGGATCCAGGTAACGTACTTTGGCAACGTTCTTTTTCTTGTTTCATTTATTTTTTCAGGCACTTATTTGAATGTGCTTTTTTTTTTTTTTTTTTTTTTTTTTTTTTTTTTTTTTTTAAGCTTGATATAGAATGAAATAAATAAATAGCCTACCTGTCTTTCATCGTGAATGTCATTACATGTGTGTATATATGTAATGGTTGCATAATGCTAATGCATCAGTTAGCTAGGACTGCTTAGCTTGATCATTTGCCAATTAATTCCATGAAATCTGTGAAGTATGTATGTATTTCAATAATTGTTTGATGGGTTTTATTCAGGTCCTTGTGAAAAAGGATCCTACAAGGCATCAAGTTTTGAGAGTGAAAGGTTGCTTTGCTGGGTCAGGAGCTAAAAAGGTATTAGAGCAAGGTGACATGATTTTAGCAATCAGCAAGCAGCCAGTTACGTGCTTCCGTGACATTGAAGATGCTTGCCAAGCACTAGACCAGTGTAGTAACAGTGATGGAAAGCTTAACATGACTATTTTCCGTCAGGTACCAACTGGATGTTTTCATTATATATATATGGGAAGGTTTAAGTGAGAATGAGCTTCAAGTAAAAAGTTTAGATTGGTCTAATTTATTCATTTGAATAGATCAACAGTTGAAGATTACTGAAAACTAAAAGGGAAAATTAAAGGATCAATAGATAATTATAAAATTGACTGGTGTTTTTTTTTTTACCAAAACTTTCAACCATTGGTGATCCTGATGAGCGGTTATGAACGTTCCTTACTTTTTACTATGTTCTCATTTGAAGTCCCTGTATATATATATTTGTGTATAATTGTGTTGATTTATAGTGGTGATGCAGTGTGATAGTGTACGTAGTTTTCCTCGTGAATAAAGTAAACTAAAGTGGTTGGTGTGGTGTGTTAGGGGCGTGAAATTGAAGTAGTTGTGGGAAGTGATGTAAGAGATGGGAATGGAAGTACACATGCAATTAACTGGTGTGGGTGTACTCTTCAAGATGCTCACCCAGCTGTGCGTGCACTTGGATTTCTCCCTAAAGAAGGCCATGGAGTATATGTGTCAAGGTTGGTTTTTTGCTCTGAAAAGTATGTTTTGAACTGATATGAGAAGCTAGAGAGATATGCAGTTTTGACAACATAACATAGTTGATTGATTTAGCAAATCTTAAAATTGAATATTTGGAATTGATCAGGATGTGTCGTGGGAGCCCAGCACATCGGTATCACCTGTATGCTCTCCAATGGATAGTTGAAATTAATGGGAAAGCAACCCCTGATTTGGATGCTTTTGTGAATGCTACAAAGGTATGTATTGCATCCACCTGCAGTTGATTTTGTGTATATATAAAATAAAATGTAGTTTGATAGAAAGAGATGGAAAATGGGATGGCAGGAATTGAAGCATGGAGAGTTTGTACGTGTTCGAACAGTGCAGTTGGATGAGAAAGCTAGAGTGCTTACATTGAAACAGGATTTACACTACTGGCCAACATGGGAACTAAGATTTGATCCTCACACCGCAACGTGGCGCCGCACGCTTATCACCACTGCTTGATCCAGTTTTTTTTTTTTTTTTTTTTAGTACGTACGTGTCAATTTCCTACCCATCCAGCGCTGACACGTGTACTATCCAAAACAACACGTGGCGGCCGTTCCCAGCTTAACTTCAATTCCTCCACCGCCAACATTATATTCTGCTGCATGCATGCCTTTTTTTAATAAGCACCCAGCTTCTATTCTATAAATACATATATACAAGTTAGTTGTCTTCTCAATGCTATATCTTTCTTTCTTTGTTTTGTGTTACTATACGTTCAATCATCTTCAAGTGCTATTATACATATATATACAGTAGAGGGGATTATATATAAAGAATGGGCGTAGTGGGCGTCCCGATTTGCGTGCAGTGCGGCACCGGCAGCAACCCCTGCAGGTGCAAGGTGGTAGGGCCGACGCTGGGGTTCTTGGCGTTCGCGGCCACGGCGTTGGTGGAGTGGCCGGTGGGGGCGTTGGTCTACTGCTTCCGCCATATCAAGGGCCGCCGCATCATGGCTCATCCCGCCACCGTCGTCTACCCCACAGTCACCAACTCCATCCCCATCTGATCCATCCTATATTGCCTTGCATGCCCTCGATCGGTTAATTTCCATATTTGCACGCATGTTTTGTTCCTCTTTTTTTTTTTTTTTTTTTGGCTACACTTTTCCCTTTGGAGGTTTTTCATGTAATAATTGTGCTACACTACACTGTCTGTCACTTTCTGTACACGGTGGATTCCATTTCCGTTCCTTAACTGCGATATGAGATGGGATTAATAAAGAAATACTTTGTATTGTATATTATATATACAAATTAAAGCAAATGGAATTCAAGGATGGAGCTAGTGATGTTAACTTCTGAACGAACTGTGAATCAGATCATATATATTATGAACCTATGGAGGAGCTGAGCATAATAATGCAGTAATTATACCCCATTATCCCAATCAAACCAATTCAACATTCCTTACTTCTGATCACTCATCATATTTGTGGTCAATCCTGTACTACATATGTAGTCCAATTTTATAAACTTAAGGTATTGTCCACTTATGTCAACAATAATAAAGAATAGCCATGACTCCACAATTTTCAAATTTAATTTTTGTTAATAATTTTTTTAAATTAAGTCTATTTAAAAAAATTCAACTTATGTATTAAAAGTTTTATAGTTTATAAAGAAAAATAATATTTTTTTGAGTGCACATATAGTTCTCATAGTCCACTTTCATATATTAAAGTGGTTTTAATACATAATAAGTGGAGGGAAAAGTTAGATGAGCAGCAACAGGCCAACAGCCATGTCTTTCTCTGAGCAGGCAGTCCTTTCCTATCACCTCTGATCTACTCGATCTTCTACTTTGCCAAATCTCCATTATCAATTCTCAGCTTGCAGCCATGGCTAGGATTACTCCAACTCATCTAACCCTCCATAACAATCTTTCCTTCTTGCCATTTTCACCCACGGCCACACTTTTCATCACCATTTTAGCAATCTTGGCTGTGCTCTCAACTGTAGTCTTCTTATGCGGCGCTCACCGAGCAATATTCACATCAACTAGAGGCAATAACGTTGAGAAGAAGAAGAAGAAGAAGAACTGTGTGCGGCTGGGTGGCAAAAATCCGGCGGGGCTTCATAGCAGTAAGGCACTGTTGATGGCGAAACTGATATCTTGGAGGAAAGTCCAGTATGAAGAAGAAGAAGAGGAAGATGAAGATGATTGTAGTGATGGTGATGAGCAACCGATATGGAAGAGGACTATCATTAAAGGCGAGAAATGCCGTCCGTTGGATTTTTCCGGCAAGATTTTGTATGATTCCAATGGAAACATGATTGCAGCAGACTGATCGAAGAACATATTCAAGTTCAACAACTACTTCCTTTCTTTAGTCTCTTGATTTGTTTCTAATTGTTTTCTGATACAGTATGTATAACTTGATGACGATGATTTCATTTATTTTGTGTTTGGAATTTCTTGTTTGGGTGCAATGCTGCGCTAAGCCATTTGTGGTTGCTACATCTTCTGACGTGTAGATGAAGTTAAATATATGAATTGAATGTGATGCTTCTTTGAGTTCAATTCCGATCCATATATATCTCACACCCTTTTAATTTCTTTCTCACCTCATAGACTCATGGTAACTCTGATCTAGTATTATATATATTGCACTGCTCAAACTTGGAATGAGGTAAAAATAATGTAATTTTCGATTTTCAATATCCTATTATTCCTATACAATCAGCCTTCAGACGGTTATAGTTTGGTGTGGGACTTCACTGCTGGAAATTATGGAATTTCCGACCATCTGAAAGTGATCTTAGATTAAGTTGAAAGTAAAAAGTGATTGAAAATAGCAAAAAAGGTTTTTTCGGATATTAAAAGTGGTCGGAACAAGATCGATTTTCGACTTGCTTTAATATCACTTTCAAGTGGTCAGAAATTTCATAATTTCCAGCAGTGCTTGTTAAACATTTTTCACAGACCTCTAAACAGGTTCATGAAATTTAAGATATAGTACTTTACGGTTATAGTTTGGTGTGGGACTTGTTAAACATTTTTCACAGACCTCTAAACAGGTTAATGAAACTTAAGATATAAGCCATGTTTGGTAAAATGGCTGTTAGCTGATAGCTGTTTGCTGTTAGTTGATTATGTTAATTAAAGGGTATAAATAGTTGATAACATTAGATGATTATAGAAAAGTGTTTGATAAATTAGCTGTTAGCTGATAGCTGTTTGGTATAATTTCTTTTCTCAAAAAGTTAATTGAAAAAGTTGCTTGGAGTAGCTTTTTGAATTTTAGCATTTTAAATTTGCAAAAAGCTAATTAACCAAACATTTCTATTGATATTTTAACTAAATCAAACAATTAATAGTGGTCAAATAAGCCAAAATTGGCCTATAGGCCAATTTTTTACCAAACAGGCCATAGTCCTTTAAAAAAAAAACATTCAGACAGTTAATCTGTTTACTTGGGTTGATTTGAAATTGAATTTGCACTTTTTATTCAGAGTCATCACAAACTTATACAGTTAAACTGCAAAGTCATTGCCTAATGTAATGTGTACCATAAGTAAAATGAAGAGATAAAATAGGTGGTGGGAGCAACTTCCAGTCAAGTCCGTCCATACATACTTTTTCAAAGAGTCAAAGTCTCCACACTAGAGTTTGAACCTAAGACCTCTCATTTGAGGAAGTCACAGCTATGTCGCTTGACCACAAGGCCTTTGACTTTAGATAATATTGATAACCATAAAGTTCTAAGTTTTACTTTTCATAGAAGTTGTTAATTGGTCTTCTTAATTTAAGTTGTTCAACTATGGACAACTTAAATTGATTTATTTTCTTGTAGTCTGGCTAAGTCACAAGGTAGACTTCAGTTTCGAATAGCGACTGTGAATTTTCTCAAAGTCAACGAGATAAAATAGGTGACCAAATGGATGGAGCATGATTCTCGTACAAAAAAATAATAATAAATAAATAAAAAAAAATCACGAACCGATTCGATCTTACCGACACACCCTTTAAGTCAAATTCATCATACAAGATTTTTCTAGGGGTTTATCCCGTCCACACTCTCAAATAAGTGACTACTAATTTTCCTCATCATTCAAAAAAAAAAAAAAAAAGAGATAAAATAGGTAAATAATGATCAATACCGAATAAAGTTATTAATTTGTCCCTAATGATTGCACTAATCCATGGAAATCCTTATTATATATAAACTATAGTTTCATATTGTTACAGTGGTACCATTTTTTAAAAAATTATTGAACTGGATAATTAAAAAAAAAAAAAGATAAAAGAATTGTTATTATAATACTTCAAATGATGATATGGGAATGTACAAAAATATACCCTTAAATATTAGGGCCCCAAAAGGTGATGCACAATTGGGTTGATGTTGCCACTGAATTGATTTCACAACAACCCAAAGTTGGTTGAAGACAGATAACTTTAATCTGAGAAATTAAAGGCTTCATATTATCATATATGTAACTTTATACAAGTTGATCCAAATGAGAGGTCACTGTACTTCTTGGTACGTGGTACCTCTATATTTTCCTTAAAACGACAACACCAGATTCCTTTTACGTTTTACGTTTTCTTTTCGGGAATATTATTTTGATAATTCAAATTTCTCCTTACATGAACCCACTTACAGACGAATGAGAGGTAAATCAAGACAATTAAATTTCGAGATTCAACATCAAATTGTACATTTCTGTGCAATAAGTTCAATATAAAGTTATAAACTCAAACCCCTAATGTTCATGACAGGAATCAAACACCTGCCCTACTCTTAGTAAGTAAGACTTTCATTTACTAGATCAATGCTTTTGGGCATCTTTTTTTCTTTGTTTCTTTCTTTTATTTTTTGTTGGTGACAAAGGAAACTAGCAATCACTATCCGGTGATGTACACACTGGGTAGACTCTACTTTTGTATAATAACTTTTAAATTATACGTGAGAAGGAAATTAATCGTATTAAGAAGACTCTGTGTGATGGACTCAATCAATAATAATGATATGAGAATCATTCTCCAACCATTTGACGACTCTTTTGGCGCGCTATTATTTTGCCTTGTTGGTTGTATATTATATTGTTAATATATATTATACAGTTTAGGAAAATAAAAATAGCAGCATGCCTCAACTGCCTACCTAATGCAGTATTAGAATTCAAGTAGGAGCAGATGCTGAGCTATTGGAAATCTTTTCTTCTACTTAAGGGATTTCTTTTCTCACTCACCAGTCACCACTAAACTTTTATGGTATACTTTATTCTTTTAGGTGTTTGATTTTATAAACAATAATTGTGGATTAATTTCATTGAATTGAAGTATTTGTTATTAAGGGTATTTCACATCGAAAAATAGAAAGTGAATGATGAATTTGTAATGGCCCTGTTTGATAAAATAGTTAGCATATCAATCCATTTTGATTTGTTTGATCACTATTAATTGTTTGACTTGGTTAAACAACCAATATAAGTGTTTGGTTAATTAGCTTTTTGTAACAACTTATTGCTCTAAAAGGCTAAAATTCAAAAAGTTGCTCAAAAACAACTATCAGCTAACAGCTAATTTACCAAATTAAACATTTGTTTACAATCAGTCAATAATATCAACTAATCAAACTTACTAATCCAATCAGCTAACAACTATCAACCAACAACTATTTACCAAATACCTCCAATGTCTTAAGTTAATAATCGGTTGAATTCAATTGTTAAATATGGTATGACTAATG